GTAAAATCACTTGCATACACGTCACTTGTAAGACCGAACCTAGAATACGCTGCGACAGTATGGGATCCATATACAAAGAAAGACAAAGACAAATTGGAAAGGGTACAGAATCAAGCTGCAAGATTCTGTATGAACAACTATGTAAGAGGTGCTAGTGTCACGGAAATGAAAAGAAACCTACAGTGGACCTCACTTGAAGACAGAAGAAAGATGTCTAGACTATGCATGATGTACAAAATGACTAATAAACTGGTGGATGTCCCAACTACTAAGTACCTAATACCAGCCCAGAAGAGAACAAGAAATAGCCACGCATTCAAGTACCAGAGTTATCAACCAAGGATTGAGGTGTTCAAGAATTCATTCTTTCCTAGAACTATCGCAGAGTGGAACTCACTGTCACCAGGTACAGTAGGGGCACTGTCAATAGATAGCTTTAAACAATGTCTAGAGCTAGAAGTTCAAGGGTTAGGTGTAACAAGTCGATCGGTGTAATATAGCCAGCTGCCGCCGCGCCGCGTGCCTGCGAAGCTGGTGTGTTACGCCGAAAGGCGGTTATACCGGCTATACAGATACAGATACAGATACAGATTCCAAGTTATGCCTATTCCTACAAATTAGGAAGATAGAAATAGGGGTGACAAATATAGAGTGTTTGTTTAGCCAACAGGATGCTAGCACTGTCTTTCACTGTGTGTTTTTATGGCATGCGCCATGGAAAGTGCACTTCACATAAAGTGCGGACACAACCGTGTTAAGTGTTACGCCCCAGATGCACAGACAACACGTATTGTTATGGTGCTTGAACGTTGATGTCCCACTTCTAAATGTCTCAGTCTGTTAGAATGACTGTGTCCCACTCCTAACTGTCTCGACTTTAATGATCTTGTCCCACTCTTGATAATGGAGCATTTTACCACTAGTATCTGGATCCGGGTAAAGAATTGCACTTCGCCGCGACACGAGAGCAAAAACGTGACAAAATACAGACCACTCTTCACCGAGTTCATGATGTAATGTCTCGACGTTCTGTCATTGCTGTCAACATGTTTACTATACAAACTATACCATTACCTCACTGTACATACTGTAGTATTACTGTAGATAATATGGATACTATACTGGATGTTTTAAATATCTTGTACTGGCCTTGTTGGACATAGCCATTGACTACTTGGGCAGCCCTGGCTTCACTATAGTTATGCTTTAGATACTGTATCTTTACTGCAGATGCTGAATTACCCTTGCCAATAATAGCCGTTGACTAGTTTTACTGCCAAACCAGCAAAAAGATCAATGAAACCGCAGGAGAACTCACTGTCCTGGCAGATCTCTCCCACCCAGCCTCCTGCGCATGTGTCGTTTGGGCAGCGACCCGTGAACCTGTCACAGGCCACGTCATCCAGGCAGTGGCAGGTCTCTGTACAGTCCTCACCGAACTTTCCTTCCGCGCACTCTGAAATAAGAAATTGGAGATTTCAGACTTCCTGTAATTTTGTTTGGGTTTTCGTGACGTCCAAGTTTGCAGACGTTTGGAAAATGTTTTGGGTTTTCGTGAATGGGGTGAAACTGTATATTTTATGATGTAATTTTATCCACAGGTAATCTCTTAATCAATTTCTCCAAATACTGCATACACAGTGGGTAAAGCGCCGCATGGCCTAACACACCAGTACTGCACATAGAATCGGTAAGGTCACACCGAGATTTGTCTTATCCGAAACCAAGCTTTGTCCTGACCCTAACCCATTCAGGCAATAGAACTAGACAGGCACGGTTCTGGGTACGATAGAGACTATCCAGAACTGTGCCTGACCGTAGCCCATTCAGGCATAGAACTATATATGCACGGTTCTGGGTTCGATTATATAGTTCTCACCTGTCTGACAGTCGCCTCCCTCCCATCCCGCCTCGCATCCGTCATCACAGGCTCCGTTCACGACGTCACACTGCTCCTTACAGTTACACTGTTTCAGGCAGTTCACTCCGAACGTCTTCTCATCACAGGCTACACGGAGGGAAATAGTCAGGTTAACATATAACCACTCTCCTGTCACACTGCTCCTTACAGTTACACTGTTTCAGGCAGTTCACTCCGAATGTCTTCTCATCACAGGCTACACGGAGGGAAACAGGTTAACATATAACCACTCTCCTGTCACACTGCTCCTTACAGTTACACTGTTTCAGGCAGTTCACTCCGAATGTCTTCTCATCACAGGCTAAGAAAATGGTCAGGATAATAATAGAATCGTTATTTCGTGTTGGTGCCCATGGGGCTAAATGCGTACATCAGAGTATGATCATGTTACATGTATATTATACTGAGTAACATAGTACATAAGATGGAAGGATGAATGAATAACTTTAATGTCTTAGGAACTACTAGAAAGTACATCTACCTGGTAAAAAGCTGGTAATGGTTTGAACTGCTCATGCACAGTGTAAATCATTGTGCGTAACATGCGTAAAAAGTATCTAATTAAGTGGCCACAGTGGTAATGTCACAGTGAATGAATGAGTGAGTGAGCGAGTGAGTGAGTGAGTTAATTCAACTTTCTACTTTATTTTGTTCAACCAGGTATCACACTCAGGCCACTCTGGCCTGTTTTTCAGGAAATCCTGGTACAAAAGCACAGACAAACACCTAACAGTTGAACAGATTACAATACATCCAAAAGTCTAAAAATAGCACATAGATAAAACTAATCTGATGAAAGAGACTTACGGATGATTGATGAATGATTAAATGAATAAATGAATGAATGGACGAGTGAAAGAGCCTTACGATCCTGGCACTCCGGCGGTTTGAAGCCGATGTAGCATGAGCATGCGTAGGGGTCCTGGATGCAGAACAGCCTCCCTGCACACGTCTCCCGGGCGTCCGTCTCGTCTGAACACTTGTACTCACACTCCAGCCCGAACCCGTTAGACCCACAGGCTGGAACGGAGATGAAAATTTATGAGATTTATAGCTGTTTAGGTCTGTATTTATTTATCCAGGACAAAACTTTGCCAGAGGGCGCTTTTCATAGCCTCTACCAGGCTTGGGGAGGCGGCTGGAAAGAGTAGAAATCGGCCAAATAGAGAGATAAGCATGCCAAGGGAGTTTGTCCGTTGAGAGAACCCGTGGCGAA